TTAACTAGGGTACATATTTCCAAATATTTTAGTTGTAAAAAACATTAAATGGAGCAGGAGTCTGACCTCTGACTTATGTCCAGAAAGTTTACTGACAAAATCTTCCTGAGCACGTATATCTCGTTGAAGAATACTCTTGTCTCGGCTACCGGAAGATAACAGGGACGAACTCCAGGCTAAGGCTCCCACACGTAATCGATGGCCCTCCATTGTTCTTACTCTCTTACAGCGAGATGCATCCCAAATCTGCATGGAAGCTCATTAGATGCTAAGCTATGCACTGCTTAGAAGCAAAACTACAACGCCAAACCTAATAATAAAATGAGATAGAAAGATCCTATAAAACAATTATACAAACATGAATTGTTTCTCTGATGCTCCAACAAAAGCAAGGAGGCCATGGAAATAAATAAGGAAACATTGCTCCGAAGAATATAGATAAGCATGGTTAAGATGCTTGTTTGAGTGAGGAATTCAAAAATCATCATTCTTATCCTATGGGATGTCCGATGAAGAATTCTCATGCCAATGAAAAGAAATTGAATCACAATACTGAATATTTATCAAAATATTATATTTCTCAATGCCAACACCATCCAAGCAGTGACCATCAGGAAAAAAGGCCTTCTGAACAACAGGCTAACGGATAGTCCATCTTTCTTTGAAAAAGGGGTAGTGTTTCGTACAAGCTTCACATAAAAGGTTCAGAAGAGGAAGACTTTCAATTAACTAGCTCCAATTCAATTACCAACGATCTGTAGGTAGGTGGTCTACACTCTAAGACACTTGATTGCTATCAGGAGCTTAAACAACTCTGATGCATTTTCCATATCAGACTCATCCAGTTAAAGACTATTTCTCCCAGAGACTTTCATCACCCATCTACCAATGGAGTTTACATCAAATTCGAACAGGCAGGTGATGTTAAATATTTAACGATGTTGCATTTATTAGAAACCATATCCTAGCACTCTACTTGAAATGAATTTTTCTTTCATGTCAGTAACCCTAAGAATGAATTAGGTTTATCTATCTCTTGCTAGTAGTGCATGGCAGCTGGCAAAGCTCTGAACAGACTTCGTATCCATGACGCCAATAAAGTAACTACTGAAAAACTCCTGGATTCATGCTACCTACCTACCCTAGTTTGCTGCACTTCTTTGATTACGTCATATACCATTTGTACGTGAATCAAGATGTTTGCAATTGCCAAACTTTTAATAACTATTGCATAAAGAATCAGTGCATACGAAGAATTTCAGATACTATTTTAGTTGAGAAATACGCTCTTCTTATTAGTTTCAAATTGGCACTGATTGGCATGTTTACTATAGTATGATATTTGAGTTATGAAGACAAACAAACACACAGATTGGCAAGAAAAAAAACAAGTTTCTAAGATTTACATAATATTTGCTTATCTAACCTGCAATTTCCCGTTACTAGTTCCCACAGCAAGATGTGTTCCGCGTTGAGCCCAGCCTACTGAGCAAACACTATCATCAATTCCCAGGTCACATAATTTGGTTACCTGCAAGTAGAACAAAGGATCATGTCAAAAATCCAAAATTTTACAGGCACCTAATCGGAGGAGCAGAATTATTTAAGTCCACTGGGAGAAACTGACCTTACTGCTACAAGCATTCCACAAATAAACGCAATTCCCCAATCCCACTGCCAACACATTATGTGAAGACCAATCGACAAGATTCAGATAAAAATCATCTTGCAAGGCAGGTGCATCCAGAACCTAATACAAATAGAAAAACCAGAATCACCATCAAAGGACAGATAATAAAACCCCTAAGACCCAAATCAAGGAATTGAACTAACGACCACCGCAGATTACATGAATTCAACTAAACAAACCGCAAACCAAGTAAACCCCAGTATTAACCACTGAAAAAAATTCCAATACTCTGTAAAAATCTATCCGAAATCTGCAAAACCCAAATCCCAAAATCACCAGAAAAACAAACCCCAAATAAGAAAAACACACCTTATAAGGCGACCGCGGCACCTTCCTCGGAGCCTTAACCGGGCTGTGGCTGATCCCAGGTGCCGCGTCATCAAATCCAAAAGGTGTAAGCGAGTGCATAGACTGTTTAGTC